TATCTGTTACTTAAAAAAACCCCTAAAGCTCAATTGTCTAGTAAGATCACAATCATTTAAGAGGAACAGGCATGAGGACTGGAAAAATACACAGTCATGGCACTTATTTTATTTGTTAGAGTTTGCAAAGTTCAAGAGAATAAAACAACCTCAAAACAAATGCAGTAGTACTTAACAACAGCCCACAGGCTGTTTCAGTCATAGTTACTAAAATATTTCCATGTTCAAAATTATCTACAACAGCAGGAAAAAAGTCTGTTACTTGTTCAGACCAACACATGGAAACTACTGCTACAGCTCTTACAGTAGTTGTACTTGAGCTTCTGTTTCTCACCCATCCCTGGAAATTTTGCTTAAAGTTTTGTTCGTTTTCTAAACTTCCTAGAAACCGTTTCTTAAGCAGTTCTTAAGCAGCCTCCTTTTATACATGGTAGTTGAACTAACACAGACTGATAAGTTTCAGTGTAGTGAGTAAGATTCTAGCAGAATCTACACTTTAAAATGGATTTAGAAGTACTTGAATTCCTTGATTGGATTTGACTGATTAAGGATATAGTGTCCTTGAGCATTACTGTGACACCCCCAGTGACAGGAAATCAGAATGAACATCATTATTCTCCTGTTAAAATGTGTATAATTCTAGCACTGCATTGCAGGACTGAGTAATACTGACAACAACAAAAGAAGAAATCAACAGTTCTGAAGGAAAAGACATAGCATAGAAAGAAGTATGACACAAGATACTTATTCAGATCTGGATACACTTACCAGCATGTTCTAATACTGCTTTGTAATTTAAAGAATTTATGTTTTAAATAGCAATTTCTTCTTTCTGTCTAAATATCAGCCTGGTACCATGCAAATAATTATGATTTCTAAATTTGTGCATGATTATTTAATTGCTGGAGCAAACTGAAAACAGCAGGAGCTTTGTCTCAAGTTCATTAATTTTACAGGATAGTAAATGAAAGGCCTTATTCCATGATTGCTTTTGCATATACTGCTATCAAGACTATAGGTAGAGGGATCTACATTAAGTAATGGAACACATTTATTGAGCAGAATTTTCCTCTGTAACATTCCTTTGTAAGCACCTTCAACATTCCAAATAATTTATTTTCATGCTGAAATAAATTAATACAAGACAGTTCACAGTAAAAAATAAATTCATTGTTCATAGTTCATTGCTAATATTCCCAGTGTATGCACACTTACACCTTGGTTTTCTTTTAAAATATAAAGGTCTGATGGACTGAGGATGATTTGTGGGTAAGCTAACATAGGAAAAAAATCAAGTTAAGAACTTGATTAACGATCTCCACTTCAGCTGATATTTTTCCAAGGGACTGGGACTGCTTTGGAAACACCCTTGCACACTTGAAACTCATTTTCATTTGAAGGGTATAATTCCCAAGACACTCCATGGCACTCATGTCCAATCTGTGTAAACTCACTTCAGAATTTGATCCCAGCAAGGAACCAGTGCTAATAAGCAACCTAATAAGAAAGTCCTCATTGCTTCGTATTCTTCAAACCCAGACCACAGAGCTAAGCAGGAGCTACTCTTTCACACAGTGGCAATCAGCTGATTATCTCAGCACATGGAAGACAGGCATTAATAAAATGATACATGGGGATTTTTCATGAAACTATGAATTATTTTTTCACTAAAATTGTATTTATATTCTTGTAAATGTATGTCAATTTTTAACACAACTGATTCATGTAGAAACTAAGATGAATGTGTTTTTATATTTATGCACTGTGGACAAAAACCTAGTGGCTGAACTTGAAACCCCAGATTATGGCATTAAAGTAAAATTTTTTTATGAACTACCAATATCTACCCTGAAAAATAAGGATGAAATACAGAGAAAAAAACCTTAACTGCCAGATGATCATATGCTCTGTAGGATGAGTCAAACTTTCAAGGCACTTATTTCAGCCTCCGAATCTACTGTTCTACATATGTCAGATAGACTGAAGTATCATTTCTTAGAAGAAGATCTCTAAAACCAGCTGTGAATGAAAGCAACGATTATTGGAGCATACATGTGAAACTTTCTCCCGCTTTTGAATCAGTATTCTTCTAGACATGTGCAGCACATGGATCAAGGATTGATGGACCCCCAACTTTGCAGGAAATATCTGTATGTCTGTTTTGAGTGTTATCTGATAATTATTAGAGCTACTTGACAGTAAAAAAGTTCTCTCCTGATGAGCTGGCACACCTGCCTTAACTGTTGCTCGCAGATACATGTTGGAAATCACTCAGAGACCTGATTCTATCCTATCTAGCCACGCGTGGATTCTCCCACGACAGTGACATTTCTTGTCAAATGAAGGTGAAATGGATTCTAGTTCTCCAGATACTCCCATTTTACATCCAGAACTACTGCCTGTAAATTTCTGGGTAAATCTGATACCAGAGTACAAGAGAGACATGAACATACTGGAGCAAGTCCAGCAAAGGGCTACAAAGATGATGAAGGGATCAGAGCATCTGAAACACAAGGAGAGGCTGAGAGTGCCTGTTCAGCCTGGGAATGAGAAGGCTTAGGAGGGATCTTATCAATGTGTATAAATACCTGAGGGGGTCATGGGGAGAAAAGATGAGAGAGTAAGACTCTTCAGAGTTGTATCCGGTAAAAGCACAGGAGACAAGGTGCACAAATTGAAATACAGGAAATTCCATTTAAGTATAAGTGAAAACACTTATTACTGCAAGGATTATCAAACACTGGAACCAAAGTTGTGGAGTCTCCATCCTTGGAGATATTCAAAACCCTGTGAACATGTCCCTGAGCAACCTGCTCTAGTTGACCTTGCTTTGAGCAATGGGGATGGACTCAACAATCTTCAGAGGTCCCTTCCAACCTCAGCTATTCTCTGTTTCTATGATTCTGCAAGATAAGACATTGCAGATGGCTAAGACAAGCAACTGAGCAGGAGACAGGGAGACAGATTTGCACAAGTTTTAACTAGTAGGTAGCTGTGACAGACTATCTTATTTCTCCAAACCTCTGCTAATTTATGCCTTTCTGCCTTCTCTTCGTTCCCCTGCTCATTAATATAATTTACAAACAACATCATAGGTCATGTTTGTCAACTGAAACTCTCAGTCTTGTCACCTGATACCTATATTGCTTTCTGTCTACTCTGTTTAGATTATAAACATTGAGAAAAGGCAAGCTCAAAACTCTCTGGACAACGGATCCCTTTCAAATTGGACAATCAAAATCATTAATCATGTTTTGGGGATATAAGGGGGAAAATGAGGAGCTTTCTGTTTCAGTAAGAAGTTGGTATTTGAGAAAAAGAGGCATTAATGAATATTTCTTTTTTACACTAGAGGCTGAAAGGAACTTGAACATAAATGTTTCGGTGTTTTTTGTATTTTAGAATAGAAACATAGTTTTTTAAAAAATCATTTTCTTAGTAATTAGCACACAGTTTTAAAAACGAAAAAAATTTATAAACAAGAACAGTTTTTGCAGATCTTTCCCAGTTTGGTGGCACTCAGTTAAAACTCCTCCTACACATAGACTGAGCGCCATGTATCACACACTGATTTGGGATTTTAACGTTTTACTTCTAAAAATGTATCAAAGAAGATATAAACAATTCATACAGTATGTATTTTTCCATCAGGGCTATAAAATACTCGCTTTTACCTTCAGCATAATAGGATCGGCTCATTAGGCTTATATTCTGTAAACAGCTTGGAAATGTATACCAAACAAGTCAGTTAAAATTCATACCCAGAAGCAGATGGTGAGAATAGCAAAGCTAAGCAAAGAGAGGCTTAATTGCAAATTCTATCCAACTAAGCAAAATGGTGATATTCTACATTCACAGGCATTTTCTTCAGAAAGAAACCCAATGCATCGACATGCAGGTTGAGGTAGGGGAGGGCACTTCTGTGTCATTCATCAGGCCAATGACTACTTGGAGAATTGCCATCAATTAAACAGTATTTGTGTACAGTTGGCACCGATTTCATAGTGCTGCATGCTACGTAAAATTTTATGGCTTGTTGTCTTGCCAAAAGCCATATATCTAATGTTTTTTCTGTTAAATTAAAAATCAACAAGAGATTTAAAGTTGGCCTTCTACAAGAAGACAAGTAATTCAATTTACTCTGATACAGTTCTCATTTAGGATGAGCCAAATTAACAGTTCCTAGACAAGGTAGTTGAGAAACAACGTCACTTTATTGTAAAGTTTTAATTTTTCCCTACTTCTTCACCTCATAATATTCAAAAATTGAGATAAGAGGAAAAATCTTTTTGTCACCAAAAAAGGAACACTGACAAGAGAAAATTGCATTTCACCTTTGAAAACAATGGTACAGTCACTATAATCCTCTTTCTTACAGTCTTCCTCAGTGTGTGAGCATTTACTTCATGTTGTAGCAAGATTTCTTTGCTTTAACTGATGACTTCATTGATGTAATTCACTATTTAATATGACTAAATTAGGCATCTGTAGAAAGTGAGAAGGACTCTAATACTTGGTACCAAGTATGTCCAGACCCAGTATTTCAGTATTTTTGTAAAAAAGTCAGCATAAGAAAAAAAAAAAGTATTTTTCAACAGTCAGGAGTCAGAGAAACGTCAAAGACAGACAAGATGCAGTTTTCAGAGAAGGATTCCCAATTTTCAAATTTAGTGTTAAAATATAAAATTCTCCTGCAGAAGAAAAGAAGTCACATCAGCTTTCATAAGAACTCAAGTCATGATGCACTAAAGTTTACTTCTTACTCTTTCAAAGGCATATGAAAGTTAATTTCCCTTTAAATTTCTTACAGGATCCCATTTTATTTTCTATTATAAGCCAATAGGGATTTTGGGGAAAAGATTGCTTTAAGAGCCTCAATAATATTACCACCAAAAATTCTATGAGAGACAATATCCATTTCCTGAGGCATCGTTTAAGCAGTAGCAGAGAAAAAAACCCAAACAGATACATATGTCACACTGAGAACTGTTGCTTGTTACCTTCTAGGTGCTCCATCCTCATGTGGTTGAATAATCACCACTTTTACTGTCACCGATGTGCGTAAGAGGTCAATCATTTGTTCATGAGTCAAAGTTGCCACAGCCACTTTACAGATCTCAACCAGGCGGCTCCCTTGCCGTAGGCCTGCCTTCCATGCAAAACCAAAAGGCTCCACATCTGCCACTATCCCTTCAAAGTTCACGTGGAATCCAAGTTGGCCCAACCCATTCCTCCGAAGGGTCATTTCCGTGGTTTCACATCCTCTGGTCACTATCTAGAGAAGTATCAGATTGTTATGCTGTTGTCAGGGCACTCACTTCTTTGGACACACAAACAGATCTGTTTTCAAACACTATAAAGTCATGTATGGCTTGACATGAAATATCTTTAATATACTAATATTAACAATTATTTTAACATTTGTGGTTGACTGAAGGTTTCTGCATAAAACAAAATTAACAAAACATTTCACAACGCTAAAAATCTTACATCCCCAGAGCAAGCAGCTGACCCGTGTAAAGTTCCTTCCCCCTTTCCCAACATCAACACAGCACCACTTATATCTTATGGAAAACTTAACAGTTGCTTTAGTTTCAAAACAAAAAGCAAGCAAAATGCTGTCCTGTCAGTTACTTCATCCTTGTTGCCTGACTGACTGCAGGTGTGCAGGCATTTTTTCTTCAGTATTAGACAGTATTAAACTTGAGATATAACATGAACCAAATTGAGTGAAATGCTTCAGTTCTAGCAGCTTTTCTTCCTCAAGAACATAGCAATGAAGATAATTTTGACTTATTTTGCCTTGTAGTCAGATTCCTAACTACCTTTATCTCCAGATGTGGACATCACTAAAATGGGATAAGAGTTTTCGTGTTATTGCGAAATTTAGAAACAAAAAAATTGCTTTCTTCATATTCAATGACAAGTAATTCTCTCATTATAGAGTAGCCAAAATCCTTCAAATTCAGACTTTGCTAAGCAGGCTCATTCCTATATACTATGTAACAAGTCCTCAACAGTTTTGCCCAGTAAAAAATAATACAATAGCATGTATGCTGGGATACTGCACCAGGCTCAGAAGACCAAATTCTAGTCCACATGACAAGGTAAGTTTGTGAGTTACCCTAACATTCCCTTCTGTCAGTGTCACAAAAGCAGTCTGTGTTTCAGCTCCACTAGTACAATTAGAACAAAAACTTAACCACTTTGAAACAACATTATCAAAAGTCTTTGTTCATAATGCATAGCATTCAAAGATCTCACAGTGCTTTGTAACACTCCCGGCAAGACAAATATCTGTCCTTTAAAGATGCACATGTTAAGATACAGATCAAGGGATCTTCCCAAGGTCACGCTGCATTAAGAGTGCTTCCACAGCGCACCTTGCTCTGCAAAGGTGTTCAACACTGTGTATGGTTGCTTTTAACGTGCATTACAAAGATACACACATTATTCAACTTTTGGCATCTAATTTAAGGTGCTTACGTTAGGAGGCTAGTGTCCTGTATAGTCAGTTGTATAGGGTAGGTCTTTGCAAAGGTTTAAGCTTTAGCTTAATTCAGGAGGCTATTTTGGAAGAGTCATTCTCCACCTCCATTATCTATTTGAGCCAGAATCTGGGCAGCCTAGCTCACTAGTTTATTGTGTGCTCCCCACAGAAGTGTGGCCCAGCCTAATGCAGGGCTGCATGGCGAGGGCGCGGGACTGTGCAGCTGGGAAGATATGAATACTGTGGCTGGGGGAAGCTGCCACGAAACCACTCCTTTCACTACCCAAGTAAGATGCAGTTGACTAGGTGGAGTTTCATGGGAGGTTTAAACTGATCTAAGACCCTATTACCACTACAGTGTCCCTTGTATCACATTAGCCCTTATGCAGCCATGCAGACAGATGAGAGAGATGATACAGCTTAAAAACAGGGTGCTTTTTAAAATAGTGTTCCAAAGGGGTGGCAGGCAGGGAATGGATGGGACTGTCCCCTTCACTGGCAACTATTATGAAAGTACATCTCCATCATCAACAAAGGAATTTAACACATAGCAAATATTATGCTGTATTAATATTGTAGGAAAATGCAGTAATGTACTTCCATAGCTTCCTTTTTACGCCTCCTGTTTAGAAGGCTAAAGTTTAAACTTAAAGTCCTCCTCTATGTTTTGTCCAAGTCTGTTACAAAGTCAGGGATGAGAGGCCTAACTTCTTACTCCCTTCCCAATCCAATGGCTGACTGGGAAAACTTTGTAGTATTTGTGTACCTTATGCCTGTGACTTGGTTGGTGACTTAAAGTCTCAGTTTCTGGTACCTTAATAAGTTTTAAAGCCCTATAGTGCCTTTATAGGATGGATATCTGTCACTCAGCAGAAGAAATTAGAACTTGCACACATGAGAACAAAGTGCCAAAAAAACATGAGTTATTTTAAGTTTGCTGATCTGAGGGAGCTGGTCCATGCTCATGCTTTTAACCTGTGATAAACTCAAGGTAATGAAATACAGTTAGCCCTCATTCATTAAGGGCTAACCTTCATTGAGCTGTGAAACATTGGAGAAAGATCTTGCAAGGATCTGACAGTCTGAGAATCATTGCCTGGCAAATTTAAACTGCAGCACTTTGACTTCATAAACTTTCCAGTTATTTCTGAAGATGTAGGCTTCAAAGTTAAAATGTGAAGTCATTCTTTAGGTGTCCAGAATGTACTGGACGTTTTGGTACAAAATCATGTTCTGGGTCTTCCTATCAAAAAAAAGCAGCCATTTCCTTTGTCATTACTGAGCTCTGAGTTTTTGACATCTTTCTGTTGTGTTTGTAACTGTGCTTATAGTATTAGAACTATACCGCATGCTCAAAGCACTAAGCTTTAACTCTCTTTTTTCCAGCTCTGAGGTTCATCTTCAATCATGACTAATTTTCAATGAGACTTTCAAAATTTACAAACTAGATAAGTGAAAATGAAAATTTCAGCTCTTCATTAGTTTCACTACACTTCTGTCACAAGTTTCTAAAATATATACAATACTTAGTCATGCAGTGAAAAGAAGGACATGCTATTAGAATCAGGAGGCCAGCTGAGGGATGGAATTTTATCCTTACAAAACTACACAATATTA